GAATTATACAATTAAAATGGTTTCAAAGAGATCTTTAAAAAGAGACAAATTTTGAATATATATATATATTTTTATATATATATATATATGAAATTAATAACAAAATTTTCTTTGGTTGATGACAATATTATATGAACACTTTTTTTTTTAATGAAGAATTGGAAGTTGAAAAATAAATGAGAACACATTAGAGCATCTCTTTTTCAGAGTATTGAATAACAAAATTGAATATGAATAGGCAAAATTAAAAAGTAAAAAGTAATGTTGTCCATGTGTCAATAAAAGAGAGGCTGTAGAGTTATTATGGTGGACCAACTTATTTAAATGAATTTCATTTTAGAGTTCATTTCATTAACCTCGAAAATTGACTATTAATCCCTGAAATGAAATATTGATCTCTGAAATAAACTTACCCTTACACCTGAAGATTCAAGTCCTCATTTCTCAATATCACTTTTATTAAAAATATGTAAGGAATTGTAAGTTCATTATTTTAAAAAACAATCAAGTTTATGCATTTTCACAAACATATAACCGAGGCAGACTAAAGAAGAAGAAGAAAAAGACAAAAATCAGAAACATGCACTGCGTTGTTGTATAGGTTACACATGGTAAAAGACTGTCACATATTAGTCCAGCTATCCCAAATAAGAAGAAGATTGTACGTTTAATATTCCTTTTATTTCGATCTTCTTGTTAGGTACTGTTAATTAAAGCATACTTTCTCATTTGAACTTAAAACGTGTTTCAATATTTTGAAGAGAAATATCACAAAATTAAGAGCTAGTTGATCTACTATTGCGTACATCAGACTGCAAATCGTGCTTAAGCAGTACATGATTTAATGCATAGCTAATTAAGAACAATAATTCAATGGTCCTTCCTTGGACTATATACAGAAGCTCCTCTATCAATTCATTGAAATTTTTTTTACAAGCCAGATAATATGGATTTTATACCTCTTTGATGAAAGTTAATATGGATTTTGTTGCCTTCTGTGGTAGATAGCACCACAGTTGATACCCTTGTTAATTTCTTTCTTTTTCAGTAGTGTGTTCAAAACCATACAAACTTCTAAATGTAGATTGGTGAAGAGCACCTGTGATTAAAATTTGGAGCACCACATGCATGATTTGCCTTGCTTATTGTCTTATCCCAATATGAATAATGAGCAGGATCTGTCATGCTTCTGGTAAAAGACAATGTTATCCTCATCAAATTTTCACATGATATTGATGAACAAGAAGGAAAAAAATCTCCCTATAAAGGGCACTACAGTAATTCCAAAGGCATAGCTATCCTATTCAATCTGGGGTGCATCCACCAAAACATGGTGTGCCCATTATAAAATAGATACAAGAGAATCTGTATGTAATTGGGACACACAGAATATTGCATGCTTGTCACTTGTCAGCCCAACTCTCATATACTTTTAATCAGTCTATTGAAACAATCTTGGTGCCAAGGAAAATTTCAGACCAAAAAATATGCAAGAAACATTGAAACGCAGAGAAGAAGATCATCAGAAAGAAGAGGCAGAATTGGGCATATGGGATTGTGGCAGCCCCTTATATGACTCCCATGAATTGGTCACAGTCAGTCATCTGATCGAACGGCATCTAATGGCATTGCCATCTCTAGGAGGATCAAGGCGGTTCATCACCAATCTCTCTCATCATCCATCATCAGAGATGGCCTCCTTGAGTGCCACTACCATATCATCAAGGGAGGGCAAAGGGTCATCTTCTTCTTCCACGGTGGGTGGCTTGAGTGAATTTATGGGGATTGGGAAGATTTGGAAGTGGAGGGTTGTGTTTGGAGGAAGAAAAGACAAGGCCAAGAAAATGAAAACAGGGTTGTCTGGCTTTTGCAATTTGATTGATCTATGGAGGCAAAAGGATGACAGGTGAAGTTCCAGTGTTTGAAAAGCACAAGTTTATATATACATACATGTATATTTTATTTTCCTCAGCCTTGCTTTCTTCATTTGCATCGATGAATGAAGATGCCAAAAGAAAAACAAAATGTATATTTCTGGTTTATTTTGCTTCTTTTGTGATTCAATTTAATCTTATTTCTAAATCATAAATCTGTTCGTGAGCTCTATATGAATAAAGTAAGGCAATCTGTCCATTCTTTTTTATTTGTCTCGCGCATTACGTCAAACTCTAATAATAACTACGCATGGCATAATACGCAAGTCCTATGACTGCGATGTGTCACGCATATTGCAGAAAATGCGAAGAAATTCAAGTTGAATGAAGTATGATGGAATTGAAGTGGCGTGAAATATGATGGGATTGAAATCTTGGGTTCAATTGGTCATACAAACAACCACAAAAACTTGATTATCCAGAAGTTGATGTAAGATTACAGTTCTACTCTAACAATGGAATTAATAAATAATCAAATTATCTAGTGGAGCACCCCAAAAAGAGAAGGAAAATAAAAACCTTGAGCAAATTACACTGCTGTAATTGGTGTTTGGCTTTTTTCTTCTCCCCACTTGAGTCTGAAGTGGGCTGTCTTCTTGGGCTACTAAAATACAAGAGAGTCAACGAAATTCGATTACACAGCAAAAATGCATGTTTCATCACCGTCATGTCGACTTCTCACAACTTGAACTGTTTTGCTGCAATTGTTTGTGAATTTCCAAAATGGATGGCACTCACTACTATACCCTACAAGGCAGGGACTTAGTGGGTTTGCACCACCTCTAAATAACACCAGTGTTGAAATTTTCTCCTCCTTTTTTTTGGGCCGTATATTTTTTTGACCAGAGTGTTGAAGACGGATAATAAAAGTTGGATAGCATTAAAAGTTACACCACTTCTAGTTCATACTAGATAAGTTCATAAAAAGGAAATCAAATCTTCAAGAACATTTCTTTTAAGACATCAGTATATAGCACACTAGTGTTTTAGGTAGCTTGTATAATGATGATAAACGATGCACTCATCCTTCCACTTACATTCACGATCATCATCGACGCATTTGTAATTGGGATGTAAATGCATTGTTTGCAACCCAAAAAAAGGATAAACTTGTTATAAGGAAGAAGAGAAAGCGAAAACCCTAATAGAGAAATGTATTTTTTTTTTGGCCTCTCAAGCCCTTCCTCTTCCTTTCTCTATGTTTCTCCCTCCTCGATTTAGGTTTTGCCCCTCTCTATGGTGTTTTTGTGCATTCTTTACCATGGTGGTCTATTTTGTCTCTAAGGTTTGGCCTTATTTATCATTGGCCCAAGAAAATGAAAAAAAATTGGAATGGGCGTTGAATTAAGCCTGATGTGTGAGACTTAGGATCCAATATCTAAGAATTCTATAGTGAATATGAGCCTTAAGTGATGCCCTATCTCTTAATCGTTGAATCAAATTGGTTAGTTTAATTCAAAAATTAAGAAATAAGACTTCACATAAGTGCCATATATAAAACCTTCACTATAGAATGACTCTGCTACTTGCTAGGCAGCTTGTGTGAGGCACTATATTTGTTTTAGGCCGGCCCAAAACACAGCCAAAACTTTTCTCTAAGTTTTCTTGACCTCGTCGAAGCTCCAAATCTAGGAACAACAATGATAATATGAATTTTATATACTGCTTTCAAGGAAGTAGTATGAATTTGATTGTTTAGTTTATTTTCCTTGGTATACTTTTATTTGTTTCATTGATGTTTTATGTTTGGAGGCCGATGAGATGCCCAAAAAAAACACCTCTATAAATGCATGATTACAAAACATTAAAATAATAAGATTAACCATGGTTAATTTTTTTTAATTTAAAAAACAAGTAGCATAATCAAAAGGAGAAAGGAGAAAAGGAAAGTTAGCAAACTCAGACTCTTGAATCATGCGTGCACGTAAATTGAGTGAATTTATTTATCATTTTCTTCCTGTGAATGTCAGTATGATTATTGACATGAAAATTATCCTTTTCAGTAACAAATTAGTGTATTGTTTTACAGTTGGGAAAAGTATTTTTCTTGACATGTCAAGAGAAAACTATAAGAATTTGATAAAGTTCCAAGAGAGAAAGTCCACATATGGGTTTAATTTGATTATTTTAAACATGCAAATCATTTGAGATATTAGAGAAAACTAAATTGAAAACCAAGCTATAGAACCAAGCTATGGTTTTGGAAAAGTTAATGTTATTTTGAATAAGACTAGCACATGGAATTTTGGATATAAGACCAAAAAGATAAATTGGAGGAGATGATACAGCCTAGGGACTCTATCTGCCCAAACTCTTCTATATACCCAAACTCCTCCTCCTCAACTTGGGTGACTCAAAGCAATTAAATCATATACCAAAGTTCACCTATTCAACTATATGGGTTTGTGTTTCAGTCTCCCATGAATATGGGTTATGTGTAATTGTCATCTTTGTTCCAAAAAGAAAACAAGATTCCATACACTTGAGAGTTTTGTTAACTGCACTAAGTTTTAAAGATTACACAACTTGCTGACTGAGGACCATTGAAAGTCCGCAGTGGTTTGGATTCCCCCTCCCCTTATAGCATCCAAAATCGAACTCCAGTAGAATTTCTTTCTTCCAATGTAACAATATAAAAAAAGGAGCACGAGAAAATATTGACTTTCATAGAAAAGTCGTATACTAGAATCTTGCTACTTTATTTATACATAATGCAAATTAAAATACAATTGTTGGTTTTACTCCAACTCAAGTTGTTCCATTCTTTGCCTCCTTACCAAGTAAGTAACTGGACCAGATAACATCCTCTCTTTTTTAAATTTTTAAATGTTTTTTAAAAAAAACCCAATTTGAAATAAACTATATATTTGAGAGGTGATTGGAAATTATTAGTGTTGAATGTGGAAATTATTAGTGTTGAATGCTTGAAACTTTGTTTGCTTGTAAGTAGAGAGTAGTTGTTATGCATTAAAATGCAATCAATACGGTTTGTTTTGTATCAGCAAGCAAAAAGGAGGACCCAATCAAGAAGGGGGTTTTTGCTTGTGTCTGAAGCATGTTTAGCCAATGAGTGTGCCGTAATATTTGCCTCTCTCTTGGGTCTAGTGGCAGATTTTCAGAGCCAGCAATTTTCTTAGCAATGACTTCACATTTTCATAGCTACTGTCGCTAATGAAAGGCAAACCTCCAAAGCCAGTTGTAAATCAACAATTGTGGCCAACAGTTCAACCACCTCAGCTTCCATTCAAAATTAATGATCTTGTTTATTTCCGCTTACCAACACCAACCCTGTTTTTGCTTCCCTGCTGGACACTAGGCAGTGTGCACCATCAGTATTTACTCTCATGAGTAAATGCAAATGTTGGTTCCTTCATGTCTTTACCATGCGCAATCATGGATACAATTTTATTGCCAATTTGTTACTTTCTTACATAAAATCAACTTCCCATCAACCCATATAATGTTTTTGCATGCATATGTGCATTTTCAAAGGGTAGAGATAATACCACTCCAATTTTAGTTTCACCCACTTCAAACTGAGTATTTTTATAGTTTTTTCTACTCATAATTAGAAAGTGTAGGAAGAGTGTCAATATCGCTACTATTTTCAAACGACAAAGAAAATTTCCAATTCGGGGTACACTGTAAAGAAAGATGTAACTCCCATATATAGTTTTATCCAACATCTTCAAATTTCCAATTATGTGATCTGTAGAAAAATATGTAACTCCCATATATAGTTTCATCCAACGTCTTCAAATCAAATATAGAATCCCAAGGCTTGCAAAAGAGAGAGGTACAAAAGATGAAACTCCCAGTCCCAAAACCAATGTGTTACAATCTTATAACTAGATAGACCATCTCATAAATGGTCCAATACCCCATGGGCAACAACATGCTCTCTAATACATGTAACATGTCCAAGCAGCAACTTTATATATTGGGACCCCTACCTTTGGTTGTGCCATTAAAATTCCAGCTTGCAAACATGATTTCCAGTTGAGCCAAAAACCATTCAAATTCATTAAAACAAACAAGACCCAATCTTTTTTCTCTTCTGCATCTTTTTTTTTTTTTTT